TAATCCTCTCCAGTTATAGCAAGCCATACTATATAAATCAAATCCATTCACAGACACTTTGGTGCACATTTCTATACTGTGCCTTTCCTCTATCCCTAGAGGTTCAACAAGACAGGAGGAAAGACAGTTACGATTGTTTTCAGTTACTGAAGAAAGAGGCTTTTATATTTACTAGGAGGATCAGAGAGGCATCCTGCAACCTGGAGAGCTCCCTTGGCTCCAGGTTTTAAGTCGTTGGGTGTGTTTGTTCTTTTGTTTGTCTTTCAGGGCTTCATGGAACAGCATGACCATCATGTTCCGCTTTGATGCCTGTGGGGGATAGGTTAGATATAAAACACAGTACAGAGAAAGACAGATGCTTGCTGCATTTGTACTGAAAAGTTTAGAGGAAAAATGTGAAATTGTTTGCGTCCGCAAAAACGGAAACAAAACAACAAAAATACTTTTAAGTTGCTGTTAAAGTTAATGATAGCCCCCTGTCTTTAAAGGCTCATTGAAAATGGCCTTAATATTTCTGGTTTTGCTTTATAATACTGTCTTCTGTGTAGATGTTAACAGCTGAGCCTTATAAAGCCCCTGAATTTTTCATATGTAAAGCTTAATGGTCATCTAATGTATATATTTATTTTGAGGATATAGCAGAAAAATATGTTAAAAAATTAGTATATCTAACAAATTACACATTAATTATTATCCAGTTGATCTTTTACCAGTGGAAAATAATTTTTCCTTTCCTCCTTATTTCAGTCACCCTTGTCATTTCCTCTTGTGGTAGATCATTAAACATTAATTAATTCTATTTAAAGACTTGCTACTCAAAATGCAGTCTATCCATGAACCAGAAGAATTTGCATTACCTGGGTGCTTGATAGAAATGCAAAGTCCCCACAATGGCTAAATCAGAATCTTCATTTCAACAAGATTTCCAGATGATTACAATGTACATTAAAGTTTAAGAACCAGTTCTTTATTATAGTATGGATTATATTGCTGTAGACATTTCCTAATCCCCTACATGCATTTTCGGTTCCTGAAGGAAATTGTGCTTTTCTAGTATAAAAAGTGATCAGTTCATGAGTTTTCAACTTTAGAATCATTCAACATATTTAAAGGTGAGTCAATATAAATTATTTTCAGATTATCCTTATTCTTCAAGATCTTTTTAATAAAAGTATATACTCTTAGGATTCAAAAGAGACAGGGGTATGTAATTATTCCCAATAGCATATTGTTTCATAGTTATTGGTAACCTGTTTATATTTATATATATAAATATTTTACACCAGAACAAGTTTTCACTTTTGAACAATCTTAAATGCTTATTAAAGATGCTTCCAACTAGTTTAAGAGTATTAGTGGTAGAGTCTCCATTATGCTGAGTAACAGTTTTTTATCTCCCCAGAAATGTGGAATATGTAGTCCCAGTATCATGTCTTTAAAACCCTTAAGAATAGTAGATTGAACACCAGAGTAAATTAAGTATTTCAAATAACTGGCTTTGGTTTTATTAACTCCAGATTATATTAGCTTCATATGTAAAGATTTTTGGCCTATGATGAAGTACGTTGTTTTCCTTTATGGTTATTTCATAGACTGTGAGCACATCTACTACATGCTACATATTTAAATATTAATACATTTTCACAAGGGGGCTATTATCCTGATTCATGACATCCCATTTGTCTCTCACAATAAAGATATTATCTTTTACTCTATGCTCATCCTCATTTACTAGTTCTAATTTTAGCTATCTTAGGTAATTTACTTCAGAAATATTTGCTACAGTCATTTAGCTAATGTTTTCTAGTTTGAAATCTTCCATACATTTAACTATTTTTAATTCCAGAAAATAATATGGAAAGGAATTTCCAAATTGTGTGTCAAAAGATGTATCATTAATGATAAAAACTAATACATTGAATAAACATTTCATTTAGCTTAACTAATTAATTTCTGGACCATACATTTTTAACCCTACATTAAAGAAGCATTGGATTTTGAAAGTAAAATAAAGGGATAACAAAGATTTTCAAAATGTCATCAAATTCTTCTTAAGAAATCTGCATATACTACACAAAGTAACATATAGCCCCATGTTTTAAATTTTCTTACATGTAGTTACTTGTTACAGCATAGTACAATATTAATGTATCATTAAATTCTGTGCAAAGAAAAATAATGTAGTTTTCAAGTTGCTATTTTATATTTCTATATACAGTTGTTGATGATTTTTTGACTACTCTCTAAACAAATAAAATGAAAGAATATCTAAAATTAAGCAATGAGAGTAAAAATCTATATTGTAGCAATATTGTTAAAGAAAATGTAACATGAGAATATAACAAGACATAATATCCTTGATGGTGATGGTGTTTTCTTCACTTGTTTTCTAATAGACTACAAATGATATATTTATTTTAATTGCCAGGATCTCCAGTAGATCAAATGTTGGTGTAACATTCACTCGCTGCTCTCTAGGACATTGCTAGATATAGGAGGTACATGAATGGTGGACAAGTAATTCTCATCAAAGGTAGTATATAACAAGTCTTGCCTATGTAGTATGGAGACTCTGTGAAAGCAGTTATTGCAGTCAAAAGAAAGGACCAAAATGGGATGTATTCAGATGAGGCTTGAAGGATGAATAACCTTTTGACAGGTCAGAAAATGTCACTCTACCTGAATAGAAAATAGTGAAAAACTGCATATTTATAGAAGTTTTGGTTTTATTTGCTAAAATTAAATTCCAATATATCAATACCCCTCACCCTGCCCCTAGGGTTTTGTTTGTTTGTTTTTATACAGGGTCTCCCTTCGTCATCCAGGCTGGAGTGCAGTGGCGTGATCTCAGCTCACTGCAGCCTCAACCTCCTGGGTTCAAGTCATCCTCCCACCTCAGCCCCCCAAGTAGCTGGAACCATAGATAGGTGACAACAAGCCCCCCTAATTTTTGTTATTTTTCGTAGAGATGGGTTTTCACCATTTTGCCCTGGCTGGTCTTGAATTTCTGAGCTCAAGGAGTCCACCTGCCTTAGCCTCCCAAAGTTCTGCGATTATGAGCGTGAGCCACCACACCTTGGCCCTACATTTAGTTTCTAAAACCTCTACCTCCATAAATTCACAGAGGTCTGAATGCAGATCAAGTAAGATTATCATGTGGTCAAAGGGCAAATACGGTTCAGAATTAGCATGGAATTTATGGCACAAAAAGGAACTTAACTCCTTTTCTTTTATTGTAACCTTCACCTTCACAAGTTCGGTTGTTAAAGAAGCTATATGCCTTAATTTCTAGTCTTGTTCCCCGTGTCATTTGATAGGTTGCTTCAGACACCAAGCACCTGAAGGAAATTTTAACCGACATTTTCACTAATCAGGTTGTTGTGAAGTAAACACTAAGGAAAGAGACACCGTTCTTTCTTTTTTGGGCATGAAACAGAAAATTTAGTTATACCACCAAACACTAGATGTTTTAAAAGAGGCAAACGCAGCATTCAGGACACTAGTTTTCTCATAAACATGCATTTAAGATGAGAATCAATGAATGCATCATACAACGATTTGAAAATATGTCTGAAAAGTTACTGCAAATCTGGATCTTAATATTCCTAGTGTTCCATTATTGGAATAACGTGTAACTCACCAGTGGAACATAATCTTTTTCAAATTTTTGTTCCCTGAATATTTTTCTAAGTAACACATATGAATTTCATGAATAAATTCAAAAAATTGTCACCTTAGGTATAAATAGGTTAAATCTTATTTTCTAATCATTGAAACAGTGTTATTTTTTCAAATTTTCCAAATTAATATTTTAAAATATAACAGTGATCTTTCGTTATAAAAGTAAAAAAAAATCAGCATTGCTTAAACACCATTGATCCTTTACCTTAAACATCCTCATCATCATATCTTATTTGGTTTTTTGGGTTTGACTTCAAAAATAAAGTGTATAATATACAAAAGTGTTGTAATTAAACTGATTATCTTTATTCACGTTCCTCTGAGGTACTCTGCTTTAACCATATCGCAAAGACCCAAGAGAAACAAAAATAGCAGCTGAGATATTTGGAGTTATAGTTTGGAGTTACAGATTCAAAAGAAAAGACAGGAAACAGACTGTGAATGCAGGAACTTGAAAAAGAGCCAGTTCATAGCAGACTTTTTAAAAAATATACTTACCTACACTATACCAAATTCAACTTCACATGCTTAGTTTTGTGGTTTTTTTGTTAATAAGCAGGGTTGGATGTGGTAGAAATAGATTTGATTCCTAACGGTCACTTACTATCTGGTTTGGGGTACAACTTTAACCTCTCTGGTTCTTAGTTTTTCCAGTGTTTGGTAGTGAAGTTCAAAAGTACTTAAAGGGCCAGGCATATATTTTATATAGTAGTACTTATTATGATTGTGATTATTTTATTATAATTGATAATGGCTATAGTAATAGTGAAATCCTTAAAATCTATAGAAAAATTAATTACAATTTATTCGTCCCAACACCAACCTAAGAAAGCTGCACTGAGGTAGGGCCATTCTTGTTCGTTTTCATTTTTCAGGAGATTGAAAAGATAGTAATTTTAGAATTTAGATCCTTTCTACATTGATGCCTTCCAACATTCCATGGAAGTTAGGGATAGTAGTGAGGAGCTTATGTCATAATCAGGGCACTTGGGAACAGGCAGAGTGGCCCCTAAAGGACAAGAGTCCCCCGGAATGCATTTTATCCATCTCCTAATTTTTACAGGAAGAATTAGGAAACACTTTATTCTACTTTCCTCAGCCAATGGCTTCTTAGTCTGGGAAGTAAAAATTTACTCTCAGTGTACATTTTTCAACAGAGATCAGTTGATTTAATCAGTAAAACTTTATATTATATTCTGAGGGGCAAGAATGACCTACAGTTTTCAGCAGAGGGATGACTTAATCTGACCTATGATTTTCATTTTTTTTATTTTTTGAAGAACATTTTGATTGGTATGTGTAGAACTGACTTTAGTGAGGAAAAAGTAAAACAAGAATACAGATAATGATAGTTTGGACTAGGATGTAGCTAAAAATGTGGTAAATAATGGTGAGACTTTGGATATGTACTGCATACATGTTTGAGCCTGTATAACCTATTAATAGATTAGATGTTGGGGTGTGAAGGAAAGAAGATTTGTGTCTAACCTCTTAACTCCCATGTTTTTTCACCTTAATAACAGGGGAAGTAGGGAAATTCAGGTCTGGAATATATTAAGGTGAAAAACTGAGAGTCCTGTTTTAGGCAGGAGGATTAAAATGCCTATTAGACATATAAAGTGAATTACTATGGAAGCAATTTTATTTATGAGTCCTGAGACAGAGGTTGTATCAGGAGACACATATTTGAGATCCATCATTGTGTTGTTTAAATGCCCTGAGACTTGAAATTGACGTTCGTAGCTAGGGAAAGAAGAGATCCAGGGACTGAGCCTTGAGCCATACCACATTCAGAGGTAGGAGGAATGGAACCACCAAGGAGTGGTCAATCAGGCAAAGGCCAAACTGGGGACTGTAGTGTCCTAGAAATTAAGTGAAGAAAGTGTTCCTGGAAAGGAGGTGATTTGCTGTTAAAATGCTGCTGAGGAGGCAGGAGAGTGTTGGAAGACAGAGCATAGACCCTTGGAAGATAGGTATTGCTTGTGTCTTGAGACGAATGGTTGTAGAAAGAACTTATTTTGTAGTGGTGTTTTTTATGGACTAATTTTCAGTCACTTCTGTGTCCCTTTGGTAATTTTAAAATAAACAGCTTGATTACATTGTCCTGCCTTCCTTCCAAGATTCACTCACTTTTGCTTTGATTTCATACCCACTTATAGAGCTGGTATCCAGTGTAATTCTCTCCATATTTAGGATATGTGCACAAAACTTTATGCCACCTCCATTACACTGTACCTACAAAGCATTATTATGCCATACCATCTTAGCAAGTTAGAAAATAATTTAACCTTCCGTGCTTTCTAGTTTTCTTGATATTCATTTTACAAACATATTTTGAAAATGGGTTATGAGATTTTTCTACACTTTCCTCTCTCTCCTAAACCTTCAGTGATATGAATTTCCTCCACAGCTTATGCAATCGTTTTCCTTAATGACACCAATGATTTCCTAAATACTAAAACCAGTAGCCTCTTATGATTATTCTCCCCATGCAGCTGCTTTAAGTAGAAAGTTGAAAAAAATTATTTGCACTATATGCAAGTTTGATTTACCATGACTTAACTTTCAATAATAAATCCCCAGGAACTCCTCTTTTGACTTAAGCTTTTCATAGGCACTAGTTTGAAAGCCACTGATCCAGAAAACCAGCATTATGTTAATGTCTTTTATAGAGGACGGCACCTAAGGTAAAGGCCAGGCTGATTGTCTCTGGGTTCCTACGTATCTCCCACTGTTAAATTTCACATTAATTTGAAATTGATTTTTAGTAATTAAAATCACAGTTATATTAGCCTCTTGACACAGATTTAAAATGAAGAGCTTTAACTTTATAAACGATAATGCTTATTGCAGTTGATGGTGCTAAAAGGTAACAATACAACTTTGTAAATACATTTGGAGTTGCTATCCCTGAACATGAGCCAGCATCATAATCTGCTTATCAGTGAGAAATGTTCAGGGAGTGTGAAATTCAACAAGACAAGCCAAAGAAAATTAATTCAGACTTGCCTCAGAAATGCCAATTGACCTAATCTTCCCAATCTATTAATTCTGAAGGTAGAAGGAGCAATAGGTAGAAAAGCCTAGGGGGTAATCACAATGACCCAAGACTTATGAGCAGCTCACAAAGTTGGCTCCGCTCATGAAGACCAACCAGGGAATTTTGAAGAGTCCTTTTAAATGAACATAGGCCATGTAGAGTCTTATGGGTCAAAAGCAAAATCCAAAAATCAATAACAAAAAGTGAATTAGGGAACTTGAAGACATAAATAATGTGATGCTTTGATTTAATACAAGTGATGCTTGGAGTTGGAGGCATCCTATAATAATAACAGAACCAGGTCTTTCAGTGAGCCATGCAGGAGCCCAACAGTGAGCTTCACTGGCAGATCTAATTTCCCCCAAATTGGCACTAGTGACATACCTACAGATTGCACTTGTGAGTTGAAACGAGTACAAGCCCTGCAGCCAGTCCATTCTTTAATTTTCCATTAGATACAATAAAGCAGAAAGTATCCATAACTAAGAAGATCAAACTGACCTTCTAGGAAGTATTATAGATTGTTGAAAAGCGTCTCAGTATATCACACCTAAATCAAATAGTCATTAGCTCTTTCATCTACCTTCCAAGGCAATCAAATCGTGTAGAAAAAATTCTAAGAGATAATTTCTACTGGTCATTGGGTGATTTAACAGTTCTAATCTAGGTGAAGAATTGACTATAAATATATGCAAAAGTACATAAATTTTAGTTTGGAGTTAACTTGGGTACCTGAAATACAGATCATGAATTTCTTAGCCAACTATAGTTTTGAGTCTATATTGCAATCAATATTTGCCTTTCTGTTCTACTTTCTTTTCCCTTACCCTTAACCCTGACTTTGAAATAGTTTTAAAGATGAAATTCACAGGAGAAGTATTGAGAGCATATCCAATATACTGAGCAGAAATGGTATAGCCTAGGTGATTTTTTAAAATAATTTTTATCCAAAATAATAACACCTGTTTACAGATAATCTGTACAATATTTGCTTCATAAATTATGACCTTATGAAGTCCTCTCTTATTGCTAGTTTCCATTCTAATAGAGCATGACAGGCATAAAAACTAGATTTAATGCCCATAATTATTATAAATTAAATAAAAAGTGGTTAACACTAGAAATCTGTTTTTGCTTAACCTGGTTTGTTAGGATATAGTCCCTGTAGTCTTGATGTGACCTATAAGCTAGTTACTCTAACAACGCACTTCATAGTCATTGAGCAGTTGTGTGCTGAATATGTATTGGCTGATGGCCTGTGAATTCATTGCTATGGATAAATCACAGCCACTAACTCTTTGTGACAAGCACCTTTAACTACTTAAGCCTGAGTGATCCCATCACAAGGATTAGTTATACAGATGTTTAAATTTAAAGGAATAAAATTTCTACATGGAACTTTGAGTCTGACAATTCTGAAAATGAATATTGGCTCTGACAAGTACTATGGGCATTGAACAATAACTAGGTGACCTCTCTATACCTCAGTTTCCACCTATGTAAAACAGAAATTTTACTATCTAACTCTGAGTGGCTAAAAAAAAAGTACCAACTCAACACGGTGCCTAGGTTTATATTTAATGGTTTTGTCCTTGCGGACTTTATAGTAGAACTGGAAAGAAAATTAAGTAAGCCTTTGCATTGTTTTATTTTTGATGAGTATAGGGTACCAAGAGTTTTTATAACCAGCATATTGATTTGTCACTCTGTTTGAGCTCGGGAAAGTTTTTCTCCCCAATGAGGTGGTTTTGAGGAATTTAAAAATGAAATTATTTTTGTAAATCTTTAGTCAGTGTCTGACACAAAATCACCATACAGCAAATGTTACCTAGCATTAACATGTTTAATTAAGATGAGATCTAAAAGATCTAAATCCGGTAGAACTTAAATGACAAAGATAAGAGGAAAGGTGATTCAGGAAAATGCAACAGCGGATACAGAGACCTGGGTGAATGAGAGTGGCACTTAAGAGATGTTTAAAACGTTGGATGTGGCTGCTGCCACTTATGCAGACAAAAAGGAATACAGTGTTCAAGGCTCAAGTTACGAAGAGGCAAATTATAAACTAAGAAAATGTAGGCATTATTCTAAGTTGCAGTAGGAACACACCAACATTTTTATTGTAAAGAGTTGACATAATCAAATGCAGGAATAATAGTAATGAGAAACAATTTTGGGGTGTTAGAATAAACAGTTGTGTGCTAAGTATCTCATTTATTATTTCCAATGTATTATTGACCCGCATTTTACAGTTGAAAGGAGTGAGACATAGGTAAGTGATTTGCCAAAGATCATACAACTGCACTGGTGAAATGGAATTCTAACATATTTTAGTCTGACCTTAACTTTCATAGTATCTTTTTTCCCATCTTAGTGATCTTAGCAAGATCTCTTGGTATACAGATAGGAAAGGTAGAGGATGACAGCAGTAAGAATTCAAGACATAATATCATCTGCACTAAGAGAGGTAGAGAAAAAGGACAAACCTGAGAGATACTTAAAGTCAATAGCATTTAGTACCTGTTTGTATATTGTGTTAGAGTGAGGTGGATGTTTCAGAGATGTTTTTCATGCAGCCTTGGGCAGTTGGGCAGGTATTTCTTTCTCTTATTGAGCAGGGCAGCATATGCAGAAGATTGATCTTAGGAGTGGAGGTTAGAAATCATGGGTTCAGTTTTGGACATGTTGAAAAAAACTGTGTAGTTATCAACCTTGAAGTGTTTATTGAGCAATTGTTATATGGAATGGGCGCAATTTTGGACATGTTGAGATTGAAGCGACTGGCATATATCCAAGCTGAAAGGTCCAGTGTTAGCAAAGTAGTATGTTTTACTGTCTGAAAACAGAGATTGCAGACCATCAGTGGTAACTGGTAACAAAAATGCTTACTGCAAGGGGTTATGAGAGAAAAGAAAGGTCAGTGGAGAAAAACACCATAGCAAATCAACACCAATATTCAAGGATTATGCACTTGAATAATAAGGAAATTATTCAATATTCAAGAAGCAAGACCAGAAGGTTGTATCTTCAGAGATGGATAGAGGAATGGGGTGGGAAGTGAAATGGAGAAAGTGTGTTGTCAAAGAGATCGACAAGGGAAGAAGGTGAAAGTGTCAAATGCTGTCAAGGTACAAGTAAGGTAAAGGCTGAGAAATTAACTCAATTTTGTAAACAGACACTTGTGAGATACATTTCAGCAAAATGGCAAAATCCAGCTGGCCTACAGCCAATTGAGCAGAAAGTTGGGTTGAAAGAAATCGAGAAGGAACAAAGCGTTTTTTCAAGAAAATTGATTCTGAAAGGGAGGAGAAGATATGGAAGCTTGGAGGAATGATAGGTGGCGGGGGGTTTTAGTATGAATTATTTAATAACAAGAAATGATAGGTATTTTCAATTTAACTTTTTTTTTTTTTGCTCTTGTTACCCAGGCTGGAGTGCAATGGTGTGGTCCTGGCTCACCACAACCTCCGCCTCCTAGTTCAGGCAATTCTCCTGCCTCAGCCTCCTGAGTAGCTGGGATTACAGGCACATGCCACCATGCCCAGCTAATTTTTTGTATTTTTAATAGAGACGGGGTTTCACCATGTTGACCAGGATGGTCTCGATCTCTTGATCTCGTGATCCGCACGCCTTGGCCTCAATTTAACTTTTAATAAAGTGAATCCAAATTCTGAAAGTGGTAGATCAATATTAGAAACCTTGTATTATTTCTAAGTAGTCATAGAAATAATTAATGTACTTTAGGGAATACTTACCATAGGCTGGACCCAGTGTTCCTTATTCACAATAGGTACTTTAATTTTCATAACAACTAATGTAGCAATACTTATAGCTTCTATTGTTTGAAAAGAAGAAATTATGACTAAGAGAGATCACACATTTAGTACCGAAGGCAACTCAATAGTTGTACTGTCTTTCTTATCCAACAGCAAATCCCTGCAGCATCTATTCTTAATTATTTTGTAATAAGATCACAGGCATACTACCTTTATTTTATTAGGTAGATGAAAGTAGGATAGATTTCAAAAGTGAGGGTTGATAAAAGTATGCTCACATGACTTAAGAGAATGCCAGATCATGGCTGTAATCCCAGCATTTTGGGAGGCCAAGGCGGGCAGATCACGAGGTTGGGAGTTTGAGACCAGCCTGACAAACGTGGCGAATCCCCATGTCTAC